GACTCTGAAGTGCTGGGATTAAAAGCATGCACCACCACCACCACCACCAGGCCATATTGGAAGATTTGACTACATTAAACTAAAGACTTTTTGTTCATTAAACACACACACACACACACACACACACACACACACACTCCATTAAGGGCCAACGAGATGGCTCAGCGGGTAAGGATGCTTGCCACTAAACTTGATGATCCCAGTTCGATTCCTCAGAAAGCGTATAGTGGAAACTGGCTGTCACAAGTTGTAGCCGCTACGTACACTCGATCTTACCTGAGCATACCCACACATGTACACACACACGCGCACACACACACACACACACACACACACACACACACACACACGCAGAAACCATGGAGCAGGAAGGAGGCTTACAGCGCGCAGAACTGAAAAATGGCTGTGTTCAGGGTGTCAGAAGAGCAGACCATTCTGTAAACGAATAATCCTATTGAAAACAAGGCAAGACGCTTGAACAAGAACATGACAAAAAGGACACCCGAAGCACCAGGTACAAACAAAAAGGGCTCTAATTGTATTGCTCATCAGGGAAATGCAAATTAAAACTCCAAGGAGGTGCTACTACACACCCAACAGAATGACTAAAATGAATTGCCTGACAATGCCAAGTGTTGGCAAGGATCTAGAGCAGTGGAAATGTTCCAACGTGGATATTAGGAGGTGAAAAAGTGATTACAACTGCTTTAGGAAAACTTCTGTTAGTACTGACCTAGGATAGACAGAAACACACACACACACATACATACACATATATATACATACACACATATATACATACACATACACACATGTATATATATATATATATGTATATATATCACATCATATGATCCAGCCATCCTACCCTTGGCTCATATATATTCACTTACAAAACATAAACAAGAATGGTCAGAGCAATCCTGTTTGCAAGAACCAAAGTCTTCAGCACATGAACTCCCATTATCATCGACAGATACCAGATAAATCATGGTGTGCTCACACGATGGAATACTGGCAATGAGAAGGACTGGATTGCAGGCATCCGCCCAGCCCAGATGGATTTCACAACGATCACGCTGAGAGCAGGAGCTCGAGTATAGGAGCTCACACAGCATTTTTCTGCTCGAGCCGTGTGCACGGAGAAGCAAGGTGAAACCACTGTGTACAAGAAGGCACTCGGGTGGTAACAGCAAGGTCAGGTCACGTCAGTGCAGCGGCTTCCTTTGTGGGGAGGCAGTTAGTGGTGCGGTGCCGGGAGGGGTGTGGAGGAGGAAACTGATAAGATCACGTCGCCCTGTCCCCACCGCCACCACCCGTGGGTGCTGAGCGCTCAGGTACGACCCACAGCCGTGAAGAGAAGCCCACTGTTTCCCATGCTCTTCTATTTGTGTGAAACATTTCATCCGGGTTCTCAGGCGACTCTGGAAAGCAGCTCCTTACAGCTTATCTTCCAAACTGTGCCGACTGCATATCTTGGATTTCATGGTAATTGGAAGGAACCTTATGTAGGGCATGCGCTCTGTGCCAGGAACGACTCCAAGTGGTTTCTGTCTGTGATCTGATCGGATCTGCTGCAACAATCCCAGGTACTCACTGTTGCTGTCCCCTTCAACAGAGGGGAACCCGAGGCTCAGTGAGGCCAAGCCACTTGCTAGATTTCCACACAGGTCAGCTGGCCCCACAGTTGATGGTCTAGGCTCAACCCCAAGATTACAGCTGCATAGGAGCTGTGAGCGCTCAACTCTCATACCAGCTCTCACAGACATGGTGTCTCCTTTTCCTTCCCTCCCTCCCTCCATCCCTCCCTCCCCCTTGTCATCTTCCCTCCCTTCTCCCTTTCTTTCTTTCTTTCTTTCTTTCTTTCTTTCTTTCTTTCTCAAGCAGCTCAGGCTGTCCTCAAACTCATTATATAGCTGAGGATGACCTTGAACTCCCAATCTTCCTGCTTCCACCTCCCAAATACAGGGATTATAAGGATGTACCACAACACCAAGGTCCCTCCCTCCCTGTCTCCCTCCCTCCCTCCTTCCCTCCCTCTCTCCCTCCCTCCTTCCCTCCATCTCTCCCTCCCTCCCTCCCTCCCTCCCTCCCTCCCTCCTTCCCTCCATCTCTCCTTCTCTCCTCCCTTCCCTCTCTCTCTTTCTTCCACCTTTTTTTGAGGCAGGTTCTCACTCTAGCCCAGGGTGACCGGGAGCTCACTATGAAACCAAATCTGGCCTTGAGCTATTAATAGCAATAGTCCTCCTGCTTCAGCCTTCCAAATGCTGAGATTTTATCACGAGACCCATTTCCACATACGTGATTTCTCTTTAATGTTTTTAATCACAGGTTTTTATTTTATTTGTGTATTTGGTGGAGCTGGGGTGTGGCTGTGGGTGTGTAAGTGTCACAGTGTTTGCCCATGGAGGTCAGGGCAGTCAGTTTTCTCTTCCATCGTGTGGGGCTTGGGGGTGGGACTCAGGTCCTCAGCTTGGCAGCAAGCATTTCAACCTGCTGAGCAGGCCCAAGTGGAACTTTGAAGGATGGATGAGGGACTTGGAATTCAACACGTCCTCCTATCCAACTTGTCCTGCCCCCCAGGAGGACAGCAGACCACAGGCTCATTACCTGACCTAGGCCTGGTCTAAGAAGAACCCCCCAGAATGCTTCAAACTCCCAATGCAGCCCAGTCGGGAACCCAAAGCACTTGAAACTTCTAGAGAAGGAGGAGGCATTTCCCCTCAGGACCCTGTGACATAATCTGCCTGTGGCTGAGATGCCAGAACCTTCCTAATAAAGCTTCCATACAGAGGATAAAATGAAAAACAAACAAAGTCGAAGAAAACAGAGCTTCTAGACTACCTGTTCTGTTGGATCTGACACCAGATTTGCTGTTTAATGAACTAATAAGTCAGCAAAGCCTGGCATAGTGGTGTTTTTAAACCCTGCACACAGGAGTCAGAGCAGAAGGATTGCAGGCCAGCCTGGGCTACATAATAAATTCCAGGCCAGTCTGGACCACATTTCAACTCCCCCACTTAAAAAAAAATAAACCCACATGGGAGGGCCCACAGGAATATAAACAAACATACGTGTATACAAATAAACAGCTATAATAAAGACTTTAAAACAAGCAAACAAAAAAGCCAGGCACTGTGTCACATGCCTGTCATAGGCAGCTGACAGGCTGAGTCAGAAGGATCAGGAGTTTGGGGCTGTCCTCAGCTACATAGTGAGTTCCAGGCCAGTCTGGGCTACATGTTTTCAAATAAGCAAAACAAGAGCACATGTGTTACTGTACCGCACACTTGCTTTAGGAATATCTGGCTGTGTGCAACTCGGTGGCTTGGGTCTCTTTAGTAAATCAGTGTGTTTATCTGATACATGTAAAAACACGATCGGTGTGGGCCTCAGTAGCTTGCCATAGGCACCCTTTGCATAAAGAGGCTTCCATTCTGGAAGGCCATCAGGAAAAATAACAGAAGGCGGGGGTTTTAGTTGTGGCTGTCTGAGTAGGGGTGGGTCAAAAGTTGAAATGGCTGAAAAGAGCTGTTTTGTGGGACTTTGTTTTTAAGACAGGGTCTGGTTATATAGCCTCAAACTCCCAGCCCCCCCCCCCCCCGTTTCAACCTCCTACATGTGGGGATTAAGGAGGTTCACCACCACACCCCAAGTGGTTTACTTTTATGTATTTACTTTTTGAGACTGGCCCTGGAAATTCACTGCAGACCAGGCTAAATGGCTTTGAACTCACAAGGGCCTTCCGCTTCCCCAGTACTGGGGTTAAAGGGTATGTGGCCCTAGACCCGGGCCCAAGCGATTTCTCTTACTATTTATTTATTGCTGCATTTTAAGCTGTGATGAAGATTCTGGAAGAGATGGGGAGTTCAAAAGTGCTAAAAACTGGAGACACCATCCCTGAATCTGTCTCCAAACCCTCCACTAACAAAGCCCCTTAATTTACAAATCTAAACCGCGGAGTCATGGTGTCTGCAGACAGAAAGTGGGTGAAAGTCAGAAAACCCTAACACCCCCCTTCCCCAAGAACGAATCTGCGGTGGGGCTGGGGAGCCCTAAGCATCCTTTCCCGGAGGCTCCCTCAGCCTCCAGACAGCTTATAAAGGTTCACCCACCAAATGCCCACTTGCTCCCACCTAGATTCCGGGGGCGGGTCCTGAACTTGAACTTGGTTCTCTGAGCAGCACACCGGGGTACGCGCCTACCATCCCCTCCTTTTTACAGGTGAGAAAACAGAGGCTGCAGCGAGGTTGAGCAACTGCGCCTAGGGCGCCGGGCTCACAAACGTCATTGTCACCAGGGCCTTTGGAGTTTGTGTTTTCCCGAATGCCCAGCGCGGGTCTGAAGGGAAGTCCCGGGTTTGGGAAGCTGGAAGGAGTTGAGAGGAAGATGTTGCGGGCGCGGCAGGGGTAGCCGAGCAGAACCCCGAGGTCGCGGCATCCCGCGGGGCTGAGGGCAGGCGTCTGTCACCCCGGGGCTCCTCCGCTGGGGCGGTGGGACGCCTGGAGACAGCGCAGCCTTACCTGTCCCGGCGCTCACCTGCTGTCTGGCTCGGGGGTGGCAGTGCTCCATGCTTTTCTGGGTCCCCCTTTCTGCGCCCCACCCTGAGGGGGGCGGGAGGGTGGGCGTGGGGCGCCAGAGACCGGCCGGACCTGTGGGACCCGGGGCTCGGGCTGTCTGGGGAGCCCGTCACCTGAGGCAGCCGGCTCTTCCGGGGCTGGGACACCTGTGGGCGGCCAGAGCCTGTGTCCCTGCAAGCTCATAAATACTGCAGCGCATCGGTGGCCGAGGGGACGGTGAGGGCAGCTGGCGCGCCCCTGAGGGTGAGCAGGTGTCCCCTCCCCGATTGCGCCCCCACGCCCCAGCTCCGGGCTTTCGGTGGACTGCGCCTCCAGACCCGGTGCGCACGCCCAGGTCCCCAGGGCAGGTGAACCTCAGCCGGCCAGAGAGCTGGGGCTCGGGCACACGCGGGTTCAGGGCTGGGGAGGCAGCTGGGGTGAGGATGCAGCCCGGTAGGAGTGGGGCCCGGAGGGATGCTGGAGACGAGGCTGGTCCAGGCAGGTGGGGCTAAGGATGATCGATCTGGGAGGAGAGTGGGAGCTGCCGGGCCCTGAAGAATAAAGTGGAAATCTGAAGGAAATCTGGGGGATAGATTGCTAAGGACGGCTGGGATGTTAGGGATGGAGTTGCTAAAGGTGACTGACACCCAGGATCGATCCCAGAACTGAGACTGCTAGAATTAGCCCGACGGAAAGCTGAGGATGGCTTTCAAAACGTCCCGCCCCCAGCCACCGAGCCCCTGGGCAGGAAGGGTTCAAACCCCAACTGCATCTCATCCTAGCCGTGCCATTGAGTCACCCGGTTGCTCAGTTTCCCATATGTGACAGGGTTGATGACGGCCACCACCTCATAGGAATGCTGCGAGGCCTCCCGGCATCAATGTCATTAATCTATGCAAAGCGCTGAGCAGCGAGGCTCGGAGACCTCATTAATTATCCTCTCTCGCCAGCATCTGCTGCACCACTCCCCTCAGAGACCTTTCAGCCATTCAGTCTCCCTCCCCCACGGACACCCTGACCGACGCACGCACGGACGGACGGACGGACGGCCCTGCCTGGCATCTCTCCATCCCCGTGGCACCCACCAAAGGAATCTGACCGTCCCTGCTTTTGACGCTGCCCGCCACCATCTCCCTACCATGAGCCCCCTTCTTGGGTGCTGGCTCTGCTTCTGTCTGCTCCTCTTTTCCTCCCTGGGAGTCCAGGGAAACCCAGCGTATCCTCATGCTACGCCAGAGCAAGTCCATCTGTCCTACCCAGGTAAGCGTCCCCGGCCCCTCGCCTCATCCTGCCTCTCCTTCTTCAGCCCTGGGGTTCTCTGCGGGTGAAGGGCTCGGGACTCACCAGGCTGGTGACTTGCTCTTCCGCAGCCTCACTGATCTGCCTCTGTGAAATGGGATTTCAGCAGGCTGTGTCCCATTGGGTGAGGAGCCCGTCACAAGCCCACCTCTCTCTGGAGGGCCGTCCTTGCTCCTCACCTCACTGTCTTACCCCGGCCCCGGCCTGTTGTCACACAGAGTACAGAAATCGCCTGTGGAAGAAACCAGTAAATGAATGAAGAGGGAACTAGGTCTCCCTGGGTCACCTCTCTCTCCATCTGGCTTTTTCTCTTCTTTCCGGCACGAGAAGGGTCCCTCACACCCTTCTAGATTTTGGAAATAGGCTCGTGTAGCCCAGGCTGGCCTCAAACTTGCTCTTGGAATTCCTAAAACTCCTGCCTCTACCTCCCAAGTGTTTGTTTTATTCTTTTGAGGCAGTTTCTCAGACTTGTAGCCCGGGCTAGCCTGAGAGTCTCCCTGTGGCTTCTGTCTTAGGATTTGGGGTGCTGGGATTGCAGGGGTGACCCACGATTCCTTTTTCTTCCTCCCTCTCTCCCTTTCTCCCCCCCCCCTTTTTTGAGACTTGGTCTTGGGGTAGAACCCAGGGCCTCAAGCATGCTGGGCAAGCACTATACCAAACCGAGTCACCCCCAGGACGTTTATAAAAACATCGAGTTTATTAAGACAGAGTCTCGATCTGTAGCCCAGGCTAGCCTGGAATTCTCAGTCCTCTTGCCTCAGCCTTGGGATTTCAGGCATGGACCACTGCTCCAGGCTGGAGGAGACCTTTTATCCAGAGGTGATGGGAGCTGCTCAGGTGACTCTAATTCCAACACTGAGGAGATGAGTCAGGAGTTCAAGACCAGCTTCAGCTAAAGAACAAACCTGAAGCCAGCTTGGGCTTCATGAGACTGTACTGGCTGTCACCTCTGTTCCCAGCACATGAGAGGTAAAAGCAGGTGAATGAGTCCCAGGCTAGCCTGGGCAATGTGAGACCCTGTCTCAAAACAAAATAAAAATAAAAAGAGGTGATGGGGCCCATGGAACAAGGGCTTGGAGACCCCGGCCCCTCTGTGTGCAGACTGCGTGGGTTCAAGTCCTGGCTTTGTCACTTATCTGCTATGGCACACTTGGGCACCCAGGGCCAGCCGAGTGACAGGAGGTGACCTTGTGATGGGAGTTATGGGCTGCCAATTGCTTTCTGTGGAGTCACACGACTGAGCTCTGAGTGGAGCAGAGACTCACCAGATCCTGTATTAGAATGAGTTATACCACCAGAAGTGACCGCCAACCTTAGGGAACTGACTCATGCGAGGGGTTTCCTTTAGGGATGTGTTGCTTTTTCTAACAAAGTCAAGAGAGTGCATTTCACCACATTCTCTTTAGGATTTTTTTACTGCATGTATTTATTTACTTTGTGTGTGTGGATGTGCCTATGTGGGTGGGTGTGTCCCTGCCCTGTGTATGTGAATGTGTGTGTATGTATGTGGGTGTATCCCTACCGTGTGTGTGTGTGTGTGTGTGAGAGAGAGAGAGAGAGAGAGAGAGAGAGAGAGAGAGAGAGAGAGAGAGAATGTGTATATGTGCATCAGAGGGCAGCCCCTCAGGAGTGGGTTTTCTCTCTTCCACCATGGGAGTCTCAGGATTGAACCCAGAGCAAGCAGCTCTCCCCACTGAGCCATCTGGCCAGTACCGGGATATTGTCATAGTTTATGGCATGGTGCCCTTTCCCTTTCTTTTGTCTCCCATCCCTCCGTCCTCTCTCCCTGGCCCTCTTCCTCCGTCCTCTCTCTCCCTGGCCCTCTTCCTCCGTCCTCTCTCTCCCTGGCCCTCTTCCTCCGTCCTCTCTCCCTGGCCCTCTTCCTCCGTCCTCTCTCCCTGGCCCTCTTCCTCCTTGAATGACCTCCCTTGTGCTTTCATATGGGCATAAACATGTGTGCATGTGATTGGTCAGATGTGGAGTCTTCGTATGAGAGGGAACGTGGGCTGTTTGCCCTTTTCATCTCCAGCATCCTCTCCCAACCACCCTCCTTTTAGACCGTTCCTCTCCCGCAAATCTGTCTTCTACGTCTGTGGGTTAAGACCTTTCTCTCTCTCTCTCTCTCTCTCTCTCTCTCTCTCTCTCTCTCTCTCTCTCTCTCTCTCTACACACACACACACACACACACACACGCACGCACACACAGAGAAACCTCTCAATTCTGCATATGAGGGAAGTTGTGATCTCTCTCTCTCCATATATATATATATATATTGCATCATATAGCTCAGGCTTGCTTTGAAATTACAATCCTCCTGCTTTAGCATCCCAAGAGCTGCACTCACAGGCATGCACAACCATACCTGGTTTATGTGATGTGATGTGTGTGTCAGTGTGTGCATATATGTATGTGATATGTATATTAACCTCACCCCTCCATACTTATCATATTAAAAATGAAAATTCAGGCCAAGCATAGAGAACACTCTTCATTGCAGCATTCAGTAGGCAGAGGAACACAGATCTGAGTTTGAGGCCATAGGAGGTCCCAAGCCAGTTAGGGCTACATAGTGAGACACTACCTAAAGAATTAAAAGAAAGAGAAAAGAAAGGAAGAGAAAACCCAGCTAGGTGTGGTGTTGCACTCCTGCAACCCCATACTTGGGAGGAGGAAGCAGGAGGATCAGGAGCCCCTGGTCATCCTCTGCTACTCCCTGAGCTGAAGGCTAGCCTAGGCTGGGCATCATGGGATCCTGTCCAGCCTGGGTTGAGCAGAGTGGAGGAGCCACTGTCTGTCACACATGACTGTCTGTCCAATCCCAACACTGCCGAAAACAAACTCCAAAGAGAAGAAAACGATAACCAGTACCCCCTGTGAGAACCTCATTTTTATTGAATGAGAACTGAATTACCAAGTTAGAGAAGAATGCTACTGTTTTACACGTGTTTGTTAAAAGCCATTACGTTTTATTTATTTATCTCTCAGTGTGTGTATGATGGCCAGAAGACAACCTGTGAGGGTCGGTTCTTTCCTGTGGGTCCTGGAGGTCCGTTTCTGATCGTTGGGCCCGGTGGTAGGCCCTTTTACCCACGGAACACCAGCCGGTGTTTTTAAATTATCTGACTTTTAAACATTTTTTATTGCCGAGTGTGTGTGTGTGTGTGTCTGTGTGTGTGTGTGTGTGTGTGTGTGTGTGTGTACGCATGTGCAGCAATACGTGTGTGGAGGTCAGTGAAGAGAAATACAACTCACTTACGTGGTTTCAAATTTCTCTTTTTAAACGTCCTGCATTTACTGCTGTGTGTATGCAGGAGGAGGTCAGGGGACCTGTGGCTTAGTTGGGTCGGCTCGGCGGCAGGTGCCTTTACCCACTGGGCTGTCTCAGCAGTCCTCACATCTGTTTACCTGGGTTGTTTGAGCGGTCTTTAAATCCCTTTATCATCGGGCTGAGTAGACATGGGGTTCACCTGGGTTACTTCCTGTCCAGTCTTTCTGGGAGGAAGTATGAATTCACAGGGGGCAGAAGCAGAGGACAAGAACTTTTTCTTGCTTCCTGTTGGTCAAAAACTTTAAATTACGCTGGGCGGTAGTGGCGCACACCTTTAACCCCAGCACTCAGGAGGTAGAGGCAGGCAGATCTCTGTGAGTTCAAGGCCAGCTTGGTCTACAGAGAGAGTTCTAGGACAGCCAGAGCTACACAGAGAAACCCTGTCTCAAAAAACCAACAAGACAAAAATTTAAAGCTTTTAAATTTGAAGTAATTTGAGACTTCTGGAGGAGGAATTCCTAAGGTGGTAAAGCTACCCAGACCTGGCTACACACATCTGTAATTGCAGTATTCTGAAGGATGAGGCAGAAGGATGTGAGCCCAAGATCAGCCTGGACCTTGTCTCAAAAATAATAATAGTATTTAATCCCAGCACTTGGGAGGCAGAGGGAGTTCCAGGAATGCTAGGGGTACACAGTGAGAGTCTGTCTCTCAAACAAAATAATAATAATAATAATAATAATAATAATAATAACAACAATAAATGGAGGCCCGCTGAGGTAGAGTCTGGATGTAGGTCATATAACCTGAAATAATGTTAATATTAGCAGAGTCCACTATCCTTATTAAAGCTTTTAATTTATTTTTTTTCTTTTTCAGATTAGTTTTTCCCCCCAAAATTTGGCACACTATATTTTGGATTCCTTATTTATTTATTTATTTTTACTACTTTTGTTGTTTTGAGACAGGACCTCACTATTAAGCCCTGGCTAGTCTGCAAATCACTCTGTAGACCAAGCTGACCTCGAACTCACAAAGATCCGCCTGCCTCTGCCTCCCAAGTGCTGGGATTAAAGGCGTGCACCACCACTGCCCGGCTCTGGCTGAGTTTCTTATTTTTTGAATAATTTATTTTTGACTCTTATGAGGGTGGGTGTTTTGGCTGCATGTATGTCTGTGCACCATGTGTGTACGTAGTGTGTGCAGAGGCCAGAAGAGGGCGTCTGATCTCTCTAGAGCTGAAGTTATATATAGTTGTGAGCCAAAACGTGAATGGTAGGAAGGGAACCCAGGTCCTTAGGAAGAGCAGCCGATTCTCTTAATTACCGAGCCACCTCTCCAGGCCTCTGACATCTCTTTATCGTTGTTGGTGTCCTGCAGTTCAGGCTGACCTTGAACTCTTCATGTAGCCAGGAAATATGACATCTTAAGTAATAGTGGTAGCATTATCACAAAGTGAAATTTGAGGGGGTTGATGAGACGGCCCTGTGGTTAAGAGCACTGGCTGCTCCTTCAGAGGACCTGGGTTCAGTTCTCCACGCCTACGTGACAGCTCACCAACATCTGTGACTCCAGTTCTAGGACACCCGATGACCTCATCTGGCCTCCGTGGGTAGCAAGTCTGCGTGTGGGACACAGACAGGTAGACACGATACACACAAAATAGATCTAAAAAAGAAAATTCACAGCTAA